TTTATCCCTTTTGCTGAACTCCTACGGCGACTACTTTTTCAGGTCTTCGTCCAAACCATACCCCAACAGGGGGGGGAGCCAAAGCATTGCCGGGACGTCACGAGAATCCCTAAACAAAATTACTAATTTCTCTTTTATATATATATATATATATTAAAAGCGATTAGAAAAATTAATTAAAAATATACGAGAAATTTAATTTTTCAGCGGGCTTCCTCTTTTTGATTTTAGTTCTAAGAAGGAAGTGTTTGCCTAGGGACAATAGTCCCGAACCCGATCCCAACGGGGGGAGGCGAAATGCTGCCGAAATTTTTTCTACAAAATCACAAAATTTTATCTCTACCCTTAAAAAGCATTAAACTCGGTGGGCTTATAAATGTGTTTGCCCACGGTGAATGAAAAATAAGAAAGGGATTTTATCTTAGGTAGATACATTTTTCTTTAATTTTTTAATTGAAAAATGCAAAGAATTGCCTAAAGAGGCAGCGAGAAAGGCATTGTCGTAACCTGGTTTTGGGAAAACTTCCTAGCTTGCTCCCGGAGGCGTGAGGCAACTAACAGGCCGCCAGTTGAATGTGGCCGCAGGAGCAAGTAGAGTTTTATGGAGCTACTATTGACTGGGACTTGGAGCCCCCGGAACTCATAGAGGGAGATCTGGTCGAGCTCACGATTCCCGGACGTGGTAGTCGGCACTTTGACACGCCCCTTGACATCCCATGGGAGTGGACTGAAGAGTGTAAGGCAGCCTTCACGAGATTGAAGTATGCCCCCATGCACTATGAAGTCCTCAAACTTCTGGATCCTGAGCTGCCTTTCGTTATGACCACGGACGCCAGCAAATACGGCTTAGGTGCGGTCCTTGCGCAGAAGGAGGGGGAAAAGTTGAGGCCGATCGAGTACATGAGCAAAAAAATGCCATCTAAAAAACTAGCTAAGTTCACGTATGAGCGAGAGCTCTACGCCATCTATAGAGCGATGGTCCATTGGAGGCATTATGTGGCATACTGCATAGCCACACGGGCCCTGCAGGGCCCGTCCTGGACATTCAGCCTAAAAGCCTAAAACTTAGGGCTTACAGGCCCCGGTCGTTTCAGCCTGAAAGCTGAAAAACGAGGGCCCGCATGCCCTACTCCGTTTCAGCCTATTTCTGGGTCTTTCAGACCCAGAGGTTTTCCAGCCTGAAACGGAGGGCCTTTTTCAGGCCCTCATTGTTTCGACCACCCCTAAGACTCAGGCACGAATACAGGGTTTCGGAACAGGCCAGAAATAGCCTGTTCCTCACGAGCTTGAGCAGGAGCTGCAGCTGCAGCCCCTGCCTC